TAATTTTCTTTTCCTGGAGCTCACTGCAGCTTGAACTCCTGGGTTCAAAGGATCCTGTGCAACACCACACCTGGCTAATTTTTTGTATTTTTAGTAGAGACAGGGTTTCACCACATTACTCAGGCTAGTCTCGAACTCCTGGACTCAAGCAATCTGTCCACCTTGGCCTCCAAAGTGCTGGGATTACAGGTGTGAGCCACCGCACCCAGTCAAGTTCATGTTTTTTCATAGCACGTCTTGTCACCTCTTCATTTTTTATTTATTTGTTTACTATCTACTTTGCTTTACTAGAAGGTAAGCTCCCTAAGGGGAAGGATTTTTATCTGCTCATTGCTGAACCCTTAGTGCCTCAAAGATTGCCAGGAATTCAGTAGGTGCCTAATAAACATATATATATATATATATATATTTGAGACAGGGTCTCAGTTTGTCATCCAGGCTGGAGTGTAGAGGTGTGATCACAGCTCACTGCCACTTCAAATCCCTGGGTCCTCCCGCCTCAGTGTCCCAAGTAGCTGGGACTACAGGTGCATGCCAGCAGTAATATTTTTACTTTTTGTAGGTAGAGGAGGTCTCACTATGCTGCCCAGGCTGGCCTTAAAATCCTGGCCTTGGCTGGGCACCGTGGCTCACACCTGTAATCCCAGCACTTTGGGAGGCCGAGGTGAGCAGATCACTTACGGTCAGGAGTTTGAGACCAGCCTGGCCAACATGGCAAAACCCTGTCTCTACTTAAAATACAAAAATTAGCCAGGCATGGTGGCAGGCACCTGTAGTCCCAGCTACTTGAGAGGCTGAGGCAGGAGAATCTCTTGAACCTGGGAGGCAGAGATTATAGTGAGCTAAGATCGCGTCACTGCATTTCAGTCTGGGTGACAGAGAAAGACTCCATCTCTCCATCTCAAAAAAAAAAAAAAAAAAGAAAGAAAGAAAGAAAAAAAAGAAGAAAGAAAGAAATGCTGGCCTCAAGCAATCCTCCTGCCACAGCCTCCCACAGTGCTGGGATGATAGGCATGAGCCCCTGTGCCTAGCCTGTTTTTTGTTTTAGATTCAGAGGGTACAGATGCAGGTTTGTTGTTAATACATGGGTATGTTGCACCATGAGGAGGTTTGGGCTTCTGCTGATACCGTCACCCACGCAGTGAACATAGTTCCCAATAGACAGTTTTTCAACGCTGGTCTCCCTCTCTCTCCCCGCTCTAGTAGTCCCAGTGTCCGTTGCTCCCATCTTTGTGTCCATGATACCCATGGACATGTTTTAGCTCCCACTTATAACTGAGAACATGCCGTATTTGGTCTGTTTCTGCATAATTCGCTTAGGATAATGACCTCCAGCTGCATCCACATTGCTGCAAATGACCTGATTTCATTCTTTTTTATGGCTCTCTCCTCCACTTTAGAGACTTGCCAAAATCCCCTCTTTGGCCACAATCCCAGGACCCCTACCCACACCACATTCCAATTCTCCTGGGCTCTGACCATGCCCCTGGTCTTTCTCCCCAGGTGAGCCTGGCCACCCTTGACTCTGAGGCCCTGCTGACCTTGGGCCTGAATCTCTCACACCTCGGCCGGGCTGAGCACATCCTGGAGCTCCGGCCGGCCCTAGAAGGTCTGGAGGGCCGGGTCCGGTATGTCATTGCCCAGGGAAATGAACAAGGTTTCTTTCGCATGCATCACATCCGTGGTTGCAGCTCCCTGAAGCTGGGGCGGAGGCGGCCAGGGCCTGGAATCTACCAACTGGAGCTGGTGAGCCATGTGGCAGGACCCTGGGGTGTCCAGCCAGAGGGGCAGCCAGGGCCATGGGGCCAGGCCTTGAGGCTGAAAGTGCAGCTGCAATTACTTTAGTTGGAAGGAGGCCTGATGGGCCCCAGCTGTCCAGTGAAGGAAGATTCTGGAACTGGGAGGGACTGATCCCCAGCGGTGATGACTGACCAGATGGAACCCAAAAACTCAGGAAGAGTAACATGCTACACTACAACTTCAGGCGAGCCCGGCCTCTGCCTGGGCCTCTGTGCCAGCTCCAGGAGACCTCCAATTACTCAGTCTTTCCTGGAGACCGCAAGAAGCTGCAGCTTGCACCCTCCACCCCACAGCCAAGGTCAGGGAGAGCCCTGTGGTCACCGTGTCTGGTCAATCTCAGGCTTTAGCTTCTGTACTGCACTGTGGCTTGCCTGGGGTCAGGGGGAGGTTTGGCGGGACATGGCAATGGCAACTGGGGTGGGCACAGAGTTTCTCGGAGCAGAAGGGTGTACAGGGGCTCCAGACCTCACAGTGATTTGCTGCGTTTGTCCCCATTTGGAGAATGCTTTTATATCAAAGTGGAGATAATAATAAAGTTATTTTGGGTTAAGTCTGCCTGCCCCTTGGCAAGTTCTTGAAGTAAGTAGATGCTGCCCTCGGACTGGGCCAGGCAGATCTTGTGCCTGGGGAAGCAGAAGGGCTTGTGGGCTCCCCATAATGGTAATAATAACTCACGCTTCCTGATCATGTAGTACGTATCAGACATCATCCTTTTTCTTTTCTTTCTTTCTCTCTCTCTCTTTCTTTTCGAGACAGGGTCTTGCTCTGTGCTCTGCTGCCCAGGTTGGAGTGCAGTGGTGCAATTACAGCTGACTTCAGTCTCCACCTCCAGGGCTCAAGCAATACTCCCGCCTCATCCTCTCCCAAGTAGCTGGGACCAAAGGTGCACACCACCACGCCTGGCTAATTTTTTTTTTTTCTTTTTTTTTGAGACAGAATTTCCCTCTTGTTACTCAGGCTGGAGTGCAATGGCACGATCTCGGCTCACCGCTACCTCCGCCTCCTGGGTTCAGGCAATTCTCCTGCCTCAGCCTCCTGAGTAGCTGGGATTACAGGCACACGCCACCATGCCCAGCTAATTTTTTGTATTTTTAGTAGAGACGGGGTTTCACCATGTTGACCAGGATGGTCTCAATCTCTTGACCTCGTGATCCACCCACCTCGGCCTCCCAAAGTGCTGGGATTATAGGCGTTAAATTTCTTTTTCTTTTTTTTTAATAGACAGTCTCACTGTGTTACTCAGGCTGGAGTGCAGTGTCACTACAACCTCCGCTTCCTGGGTTCAAGTGATTCTCCTGCCTCAGCCTCCTGAGTAGCAGGGACTACAGGTGCACACCACCATGCCCAGCTAATTTTTGTATTTTTAGTAGAGACGGGGTTTCACCATGTTGGTCAGGCTAGTGTCAAACTCCTGACCTCAGGTGACCCACCCACCTCGATGCCTCCCAAAGTGCTGGGATTACAGGTGTGAGCCACATGCCCAGCCGAAAATTTATTTTTCTTAGAGAGGGTGTGTCCCTATATTGCCCGGACTGGTCTTGAACTCCTGGGCTCAAGTGATCTTACTGCCTTGGCCTCCCAACGTGCTGGAATTACAGGCATGAGTATCTAAGTATTTTACGGTTATTGACCACTGTGTTTGTCACTACAACCTCGCGGAATAGATGCTGCTACCATCCCGTTTTACAGGGAAAACTGAGGCTCAGAGGGGTTCAATACCTCGGCCAAGGTCGGGCTAGGTTGAAAGCTGGGTAGCCTGGCCAGGCATGGTGGCTCATGCCTATAATCCCAGCACTTTGGGAGGTCGAGGTGGGTAGGTCACCTGAGGTCAGAAGTTTGAGATCAGCCTGGCCAACATGTTGAAACCCTGTCTTTACTGAAAATACAAAACAAAAAGAAAAAAAGCCAGGCATGGTGGTATGTCCTTGTAATCCCAGCTACTCAGGAGGCTAAGGCAGGAGAATCACTTGAATGCCGGGAAGGGGAGGTTGCAGTGAGCTGAGATTGTGCCACTACACTCCAGTCTGGGTGAGACAGCAAGACTGTCTCAAAAAAAAAAAAAAAAAAAAAAAAGTTGGGCATGTTCCTGGGCCATCAGCCCCCACACTGGTTCCAGGCAGATTCAAATTCGATGGCCAAGATACTCACTGTGTTAATAAACACGCAGTTAGCATGTACTGTGTTCTGTGCGTGTCACGCATCACAGTGCATTTGGTTTCCAACAAAGCACTATGAGGCAGGCAATATTATCACCCCCATTTTCCAGGGGGACAAAGTTGAGGCTTAGAGAGCTTGTGGAGCCTCTCCAGGTCACCTACATAGTGCGCGGTGGAGCCTGAACACTGAATGTGACTCCATTTCTTCTGCAACTTCATCCCAGTCCCTGGCCCCAAACCACCATGGTGTCCCCTAAGAGAGTATGTGCTTGGTTTGCTTTTTCTTTTGAGACGAAGTCGCTCTGTTGCCCAGGCTGGAGTGCAGTGGTGCAATCTCGGCTCACGGCAACCTCTGCCTCCCAGGTTCAAACAATTCTCCTGCCTCAGCCTCCCAAGTAACTGGGATTACAGGCACCCGCCACCACACTCAGCAACTTTTTCGTGTTTTTAGTAGTGACAGGGTTTCACCATGTTGGCCAGGCTGGTCTCAAACTGCTGACCTCAGGTGATTCACCTGCCTCAGCCTCCCAAAGTGCTGGATGACAGACGTGAGCCACTGCACCCAGCCAATGTGCTTGGTTTTCATCCAGATCATTTTCTGTTGTGATGGAAACTGAGGTTGCCAAGGACAACATAATCGGTGGTGACGCAGGCCTCCACCTGCAGAAATGTCACTAGTGCCTGACCCCAGAGTTCTGTCCTCAGTTCTATCCTGGCCCGCCTGACTTACCAGTGGCCTCCAGACAGCCCGTAAGAGCTTGCAGAGGGCCTCTGTGTCCATCAGCTGGACTCACTACAGCCCTGGAATCTAAGCAAAGCAAGCACAGTGGCCCTTACTCTACAGACAAGCTCGGAGGTACCCGGAGAGTGAGCAATTGGCTCAAGGCCACCAGCTGGGAACTGCAGTTTGCAGCCAGCAGCTATTGCTTGGCCCCTAGAGAGCTTTCTGTTAGAAGAGCCTGGGGTGGCAGAGATCACATGGGATTCACCCCAGGCTGGGGCAGCAGCAACTTGCACCTCATCACGAAACGTAACAGGCAGGAATGACTCCATCACCCTCCAAGGTTTATTTAAAAGTCATAGAAAAGCATAGCCTGGGAGGGGCATCCTTGAACTGACCAGAGCTTCACCGGGACCCAGAAGAACACACTGGCATGGCCCTGGTTGGTCGCAAGAAACAGCAGGTGAGAGAAGTATCTAAAGTCTTCTCTACAAGAGCCACTGCCTGCCCAGGGTTGACGCTGGTCCCTGGAGTGGCAAAAGGCTTAAAATCAGGCCAACTCCCTCTTCCCAATTACCAGAGGGGCAAGAGGTGGTGGGAGTGGAGAGAGAGGACCAACTCAGACACAGGGATTAAGACAGAGGCGTGGGGACAGCTGGATCTGTAGCGTGATGGTTTCAGCAGAGAAAGATCCAGAGATTCAGCCCCTCCTGTGCCGATGGCCCCTGGAAAGGAGCGGCTCACGGTCCTGCAGGAACAATTAGAGAGGCCGAAGTGAAATTGATGGCTGTGAAATAATAGCAAGTATATACACCGGTCTCTAACTCTAGTCCCTAGCACAGAGCTAAAACCCTCGTGAGTTTCTGAGCCAGAGGAGTGCTGGAATCTTTTGTGCTAATATTTGGCCTTTCAACTCTGTTTCTGGATCACTTGGAGTTTCTTGGGTAATGGGAACATATTTTATTCTAATGAGGTGACTCTTGGTGGGCTTCTGGGTGGGGGCTGGTCACCAGCAAGACCAAGCCAGTGATTAGAAGCTTGGAGCCTTCGGTCCCATCTCCCATTCTCCAGGAAGGGGAAGAAGGTTGGAAATGGAGTGAATCATCCTTCACTAGTATTTGATGAAGCTGCTAAAAAAATCCCTGGTGAAGGCCGAGTGCAGTGGCTCATGCCTGCAATCCCATCACTTTGGGAGACAGAGGCAGATGTATCACCTGAGGTCAGGAGTTCAAGACCAGCATGCCAACATGGTGAAACCCCATCTCTACCAAAAATATAAAAATTAGCCAGGCGTGGTGGCAGGTGCCTGTAATCCCAGCTACTCAAGAGGCTGAGGCAGGAAAATCATTTGAACCTGAAGGTGCAGGTTGCAGTGAGCCTAGATCGCACCACTGCACCCCAGCCTGGGCGACAGAGTGAGACTTCATCTCAAAAAAAAAAAAAAAAAAATTCCCTGCTGAGCTGAGGACACAGGCCTATAGTCCCAGCTACTCAGGAGGCTGAGGCAGTGAGCAATGTAGTCCCAGCTACTGAGTGAGGCAGTGAGCTATCATTACACCACTCACTCACGGGAGAGAATGAGACCTCATCTCTTAAAAACAAACAAACAAAAAACCTGAACTACGGGGTTCAGGGAGCTTCAGGGCTTGTGATCCATGTGTGTGGGAGGGGTGGTGTACCCCCACTCCACGGGGGCAGAAACTCCTGCCCTTGGGCCCTTTCCAGACTTTGCCTCCCTAAGCACCTCTTCCATCTGGCTTATTCATGCTTATCCTTTGTAATATCTTTTTTATTTTTATTTTTTCCAAGACAGGGTCTCATTTTGTCTCTCAGGCTGAAGTTGCAGTGGAATGATCATAGCTCACTGCAGCCTCTACGTCCTGGGCTCAAGTAATCCTCTCACCTCAGCCTCCCAAGCAGCTGGAACTACAGGTGCATGCCACCACAACTAGTTAATTTAAAAAAATTTTTTTTTCTTGAGAGATGATCCCACTATGTTTTCCAGACTAGTCTCAAACTCCCAGGCTCAATTGATCCTTCTGCCTCAGCCTCTCAAAATGCTAGGATTACAGGCATGAGCCACTGCACCCAGCCCCTTTGTAATCTTCTACAATAAAATGGTAAACATAAGTAAAGCATTTCCCTGAGTCCTGTGATCTACTCTAACAAATAATCCGACAGGAGGTGAAAGCCTTGACTTACAGCCAACCAGTCAGAAGTACAGGTGACAACTTGCTACTTGCAACCAGCATCTGAAATGGGGACAGTCCTGTGGGACCGAGTCCTTATCCTGTGAGTTGTGTCACTACCTCCAGATAGACAATGTCAGCCGGATGTGGTGGCTCATGCCTGCAATCCCAGCACTTTGGGAGGCTGAGGTGGGAGAATTGCTTGAGGAGTTCGAGACTAGCCTGACCAATATGACAAAACCTCATCTCTACTAAATACACAAAAATTAGCCAGGCGTGTTGACACATGCCTGCAATCCCAGCTACTTGGATGGGTGAGGCACGAGAATCACATGAACCCTGGAGGCAGAGGTTGCAGTGAGCTGAGATCATGCCACTGAACTCCAGCCTTGGTAACAGAATGAGACCCTGTCTCAAATATATATATATATATACATGTCAGGCGCCAGTGGCTCACGCTTATAATCCCAGCACTTTGGGAGGCCGAGATGGGCAGATCACGAGGTCAAGAGATCAAGACCATCCTGGCCAACACGGTGAAACCCCATCTCTACTAAACATTTGAAAATTAGCTGGATGTGGTGGTGCACACCTATAGTCCCAGCTACTTGGGAGGGTGAGGCAGGAGAATCTCTTGAACCTGGAAGGTGGAGATTGCAGTGAGCTGAGATTGTGCCACTGCACTTCAGCCTGGTGGCAGAATAAGACTCTATCTCCAAAAAAAGAAAGAAAGAAAGGAAAGAAAGAAAAAAGAAAGAAAGAAAGAAAGAAAGAAAGAAAGAAAGAAAGAAAGAAAGAAAGAAAGAAAGAAAATACGTATATATATATATACAATGTCAGAATTCAGTAGAATTGCAGGACACCCAGCTGGTGCCTGCTGGAGAATTGTTGGGTGTAGAGGGCCCTGGAGCTCTAGGATCACTCCCCTGGGGCTTCACTTCAGCACTTGCTGTAGACTCTTTGGGCTGGGTCATGGCAGTGGACAGCCACCAAGGCCCCTCCCCTGTGAACCTGCAGCACTGACCACACAGCCAGCCCTCCTTGGTCCTGAGGTGAATCCCCTGTCCCAGTTTGAGCCTATCATGAACCCTCAACCCTCAGCAAAGGTGATGGATGGGAGACAGTCACATGACCAATAGTCCTTACCTGAATTAGATGGTATCAGGAGGGAGGCATTCCTCCTGCTGCTGCTGATAGGGTTGCTAAACTTGGACGATGATAGCTTGGAGCTTCCAGAACTAAACTTTACAGCATGAGAGCCTGTTGGAGAAATGGAGAGAGAAATAAGCAAGAGCTTTGCCAATACCCTTTGTGCTCCTGGATCTAGCTGAGCCTGAAGCTATTGGCTGGTTATGTAAGCCAGTGAGTGTCCCGTGTGCTTGAGCTTTCCATCTGCACAAATGGAAAGCGTCCTGATTAAAAGAGGTGGACTGGCTGGGTGCAGTGGCTCATTCCTGTAGTCCCAGCACTTTGGGAGGACAAGGCAGGTGGATTGCTTGAGCCCAGGAGTTCCAGTCCAGCCTGGGCAACATGGCACAACCCTGTCTCTGCAAAATAAAAATAAAAAATCAGCCAGGCATGGTAGTGTGTACCAGTAATCCCAGCTACTTGGCAGGCTGAGATGGGAGGATTACTTGAGCCCAGGAACTCAAGGCTGCAGTGAGTTGTGATTGTGCCACTGTACTCCAGCCTGGGTGACAGAGTAAAACTCTGTCTCAAAATAATAATAATAATGAGCTGAGACCGGGCATGGTGGTTCATGCCTGTAATCCCAGTACTTCGGGTGGCCGAGGCAGGCAGATCGCCTGGCCAACATGGTGAAACCCTGTCTCTACTAAAAATACAAAAATTAGCCAGGCATGGTGGTGGGTGCCTATAATCCCAGCTATTCAGGAGGCTGAGGCAGGAGAATCTCTTGAACTCAGAAGGCAGAGGTTGTAGTGACCTGAGATTGCACCACTGCACTCCAGCCTGGACAACAGAGTGAGACTCCATTTCAAAATAATAATAATAATAATAGTGAGCTGGATTAGTAGCACATGCCTGTAATTCCAGCTACTCGGGAGGCTGAGGTAGGAGGATTGCTTGAGCCTAGGAGGTCAAGGCTGCAGTGAGCTGTGATGGTGCCATTGCACTCCAGCCTGAGTGACAGAGTAAGGCTCTGTCTCAAAATAATACTAAAAGAGCTGGACTGGTGGAATACACCTGCAATCCCAGCTACTTGGGAGGTTGAAGTGAGAAGATCACTTGAGCCCACGAATTCGAGGCTGCAGTGAGCTATGATCATGCTACTGCACTCCTGGGCAACAGAGCAAGACCCCATCTCAAAAACAAAACAAAACAAAAAAACTGGACAATGACGCAGTCAGTTGGTCATTCACTTGATGCTCGCCGACCAGCAACGGACTTTCTTTGGGGTTCAGGCCGCTGTAGTATTCTGGTCTCCAATTCCCTCCCTCAGGGCCCCCTAGATACTCAGCAGGGGTCTTGCCCACCTGGGAGGTTCTTCATGTTGTGGAGGAGCTTTGCAAAAGACTTATTGCGGGCATCCAGGAGCTTCATGGCTTTCTGCACCTCCCTGTTCTTTGGGTTCCCACACACCTTCCTGTGTCTCTTGGGGAGGTAGAATCTGTGGTGAGCAGAGGGGGGTGCCCAGGTTAGGGCACAGGCTGGGAGCAAAGCTGTGTGTGCACCCCATCTCCCAGCCCCCACGGCCTCACTCACATCACAGCAGGCAGATTGCAGCTCCCACTGACCTCCTGGATCCGGTAAGCCCAGGCGCGCCGGAGCACAGCCAAACCAATGGGGTAGTGGTGGGCCAGGCAGCAGTCCTCAAAGATACCTGCAACCACACAGCCGCCCAAATACTTGCATCCTTGCATGTGAACTTGGCAGGGGCAGCCACAGGCATGGAACCTGGCTGCATACATACGCTCCTACCACAACCCTTCCGGGCCCAGCAGAGGCTGAGGGACAGCCTTGGGAAAAGACAGCCTCCTGGCTCACCCCTTAGCTCTGGATATTGGGGTAGCCAGAAGTTGGAGAGGGCCCTTGGGTCCTGGCTGGAAAGGGTGTGGAACCAGCAAATAAGCAGGGGACCAAGACCATCTCCATTCCTGCTCTGGGGAAGAAGGTGACTCACAGTGCAGGTGCACCATGAGGAGAGGTCAACACCACCCCTCCCCAGCCAAGTTCTAACCTCCTAACAGTGAGCTGATGGGAGGCCTGGAGCGGTGGCTCACACCTGTAAACCCAGAACTTTGGGAGGTTGAGGTGGGCAGATTGCTTGAGGTCAGGAGTTTGAGACCAGCCTGGGATACATGGTGAAACCCCGTCTCTACTAAAGATACAAAAATTGGCTGGGCGCAGTGGCTCATGCCTGTAATCTCAGCACTTTGGGAGGTCGAGGCAGATGGATCATGAGGTCAGGAGTTTAAGACCAGCCTGACCAACATGGTGAAACCCTGTCTCTATTAAAAATTAGCCAGGTGTGGTGGGACATGCCTGTAATCTTAGCTACTTGGGAGGCTGAGGTAGAATTGCTTGAACGTGGGAGGCAGAGGTTGCAGTGAGCCGAGATCGCGCCATTGCACTCCAGCCTGGGCAACAGGGTGAGATTCCCTCTCAAAAAAGAAAAAAAAAGGCTAGACAGAGATGAAACACACAGACGAATTAGACCTAGTGTTGTCTTCAGGAAGCCCCTGGCCTGGTTGGGAGACAGGGAAATCAATTATGCAGAGAAGGTGAAGCACAGCTACTGTTGGGGGTGCCCAGAGCAGGAGGTGATGCTGCCAGAAAGTTCTGGGAGGGTGAGCAGGTGGAATGAATGAGTCGAGGAGGAGCTGATTAGATGGTGGTAGAAGCTGGGGCACAAGTCGCTGCCCAAATGGCCTTTGAAGGTCTCTGCAATCCCACCTCTGCCAGAACTAACCTCCAGGGGCCAAGCCTGAGTCCCCTGCAGAGCCCAGCCCAGAGGGAGCAGGCAGAGGAAGGACTCAAGCCCTCCAAGTGTCTCCCAACCTTGGCCTCTGAGGGCAAGGGCAGTGCATTCTGTTGGAACCTCAGGCTGCAATGCCAGGCAGGTAGTTCCCAAGGCTGAGGGCCACCTTTCCCCCCAGGTATCAAAGGGCCGGGGCTGGGCCTGCCTATCACTGGCTCTGATAGCAGAACAATCAGACCATAGCCCAGCCCCCTCCCGGGCAAAGGCTAAGGACTTGGACCCAACAGACCCAGGCGAGAAACAGGTGGGGCAGGTGGGGGCAAACAGGGCAGGAGGATGGGGACCTGTCTGCCCCCCCCCCGCCCCACCTGGTCTGCCACCCAGCCAGGGACCCTGCTTTGGCCAGCTGCTGAAACTCAAGAGGATGTAGGACCCACTGTCAGGGCTTCTGTGGGGACACCACAGGCCCAGGAACTGTCCTTTGGTGACTGGAATCCTCAAGTGGCCACTCTGCGGTAGGGAGTGGGGGAAGAAGGAAAGAGTTCCCTGTTAATGACAGAAACGGTTATTATTGCTGCTACCAGACCTGAGGCCTAGTCTTTTGCAAGCATGAGCTCATTGGACCCTCAAGTCAAAGCCATGCAGTGGGAATTTTAGATTCCCACTTTCCTGCTGAGAAAATTAAGGCTCCTAAAGGTTTAGGAGGAGGGCGCAGTGGCTCATGCCTGTAATCCTAGCACTTTGGGAGGCTGAGGCGTGCAGATCACCTGACATCAGGAGTTCAAGACCAGCCTGGCCAACAGGGTGAAACCCCAGCTCTACTAAAAATACAAAAATTAACGAGGTGTGGTAGTACATGCCTGTAGTCCCACCTACTCAGGAGGCTGAGGCAGAAGAATTGTTTGAACCCAGGAGGTGGAGGTTGCAGGGAACCGAGACTGCGTCACTGCACTGCAGCCTGGATGACAGAGCGAGACTCTGTCTTGAAAAAAAAAAAAAAAAAGGTTTAGGAGCCACGAACTCTCCACTTGACTGCATGGGGGGATTGGGATGGGAATCCCCTCCCAACCGTCTCCAGGGCCCTGATTTCCAACCCCACCCCGTCTCAGCAGGATTAGGACTCTGCAATGTGTCCCTGGCAGTAACTGGCTGTGCCCACAACTGGAAGCCACCTTCTGCTTCCTCATGTCTCTAGGCTGTAGGAGTCTTGCAAAGGACTCCATGGAGCTCTGGAAGAAAGGAACTGGGAACCCTCCATTTCCCTGACCCCATCCCAGGAGCTACCCAAACGCCAGGAGTTCCTGCATGTCAGGAGCAGGAGAATTCAGTGGAGATGGGATTGAGGAGAGTTCTGGAAGAGATGAGAGACAGAAGGAGTGGGTGGGGGCACAGGGAGAAGGGGACTTGGGGGTGCGCATTGCCGTAGACAGTACCTTGGACGCGGACAGGTGGGGCCCAGGCTCCCAGGAAGCCGGCCACCAGGCAGGCCAGGAGCCACAGGTTCATGCTGCAGGCGGGTTCTCCTCTCCGGGCACCTGGAAGAACAATGGGGCTACCTGGGGTCGTGGAGGGAAGTGGGCACTGGGAACACCCCTGTCTTAAGCCCCAGGCATACAGGAAGGGAAGGAGGTCGCATAAAATGGAAACAAGTCCAGCTGGAGGGACAAGCTGCTCGTCTCAGTCAAGGTCAAGGGAAAGACTCACCGATGTTCACTGGGTCAAGGGAGCTGATCCCCTCTGGGCTGTATGCCAGCCCTGTCTGCAGGACCAACACACTGAGCTTCACTCTTTATAGACAGAGCCCCACCCAGCCACCCCCCTGTCCACCCTCCTCTCTTCCTCCTCCTCCCCACCTGCACTCTCAGCCTCTGGGATTCTCCCTCCTCTACGGCAGTTTCTGACCTTGACCCATTGGCCCTCATGCCTCCCCACTCCCCATCCCAGGCCTTCCAACCAGCTCACCTGCTTTCTCCAAAAATCGCCCTTTTTCCTGTTTCCCTCACCTGCACGTACCTGGTGGACACTGGCTACCTGAAAACAAGCTGCCTTGAGCCCCCAAAGCAAGCCCTTACCTTCACACTCCCTGCCCTCTCCCGGCTGCCTCAAGCTACGTGTTCCCTGGTAGGTCCCCAACTTCACTCCATTTCCCTCTCCTTCCATACCATGGTAAGGTAACTTAGCATATCACAGAAATGCCCTAGTTGTGAGAACAGGCAAATCCATAGAAAGAGAAAGTAAATTAGTAGTGGTCATAGGATGGGGGAAGGGGAGAATGAAGGAGTGACTGGGAGAGGGTATGGATTTCCTTTTGTTGTGAAATTAGATGAGAGCGATGGTACATAACGCTATGAATATAGTTAGCAAGGCAGAACGGTACACTTCCCACCAGTGAACAACCCCAACAAGAAAGAAATGCTCTAGGCCAGGCACAGCGGCTCATGTCTGTAATCCCAACACTTTGGAAGGTCAAGGCCAGAGGATCACTTGAGCCCAGGGTTTAAGACCAACCTGGGCAACATAGAGAGACCCCTGTCTCTACAAAAAGTTTTTTAAAATTAACCCAATGTGGTAGTGCATACCTGTAGTCCCAGCTACTTGGGAGGCTGAGGTGGGAGGATTGCTTGAGCCCGGGAGGTTGAGGCTGCAGTGAGCGGTGATCACGCCACTGCACTCCATTCTGGACAACAGAGCAAGACCCTGTCTCAAAAAAATGAAAAAAAGGTGGCCAGGCACAGTGGCTCACACCTATAACCCCAGCACTTTGGGAGGCCAAGGCGGGCAGATCACCTAAGGTCAGGAATTTGAGACCAGCATGGCCAACATGGCAAAACACACTCTCTACTAAAAATACAAAAATTAGCCAAGTGTGATGGGTGCCTGTAATTACAGCTACTTAGGAAGCTGAAGCAGGAGAATTGCTTGAACCCAGAAGGCAGAGGTTGCAGTGAGCTGAGATTTCATCACTACATTCCAGCCTGGGTGACAAGAGTGAAACTCTGTCTCAAAAAGAAAGAGAGAGAGAGAGAGAGAGAGAGGAAGAAAGAAAGAGAGAGAAAGAAGGGAGGGAGGGAGGGAGGGAGGGAGGAAGGAAGGAAGGAAGGAGAAAGAAAGAAAGAAAGAAAGAAAGAAAGAAAGAAAGAAAGAAAGAAAGAAAGAAAGAAAGAAAGAAAAGAAAGAAAAGGAAGAATTGGTTGGTTTTTCGAAGAAAAGCCACGAGCCCCGGGTAGCCATGCCCTCAGGAAGCAAAGCAACATTCTCGGAGAAGGCATGTCTTCTTTCCCTGGGCGAGTGGGAACCACCCAGGACACAGGTACTAGGGGAGACAGGAGGTGGAGATTAGGGAGGGTGAAAGCAGCGCTGCAGAGGCCACACAGCTGATTGTTTTAAACTTTTCATCGCCGCCATCCATAGCTACATCTGACCTTTGTGGGGGTATTTATTACACCCTGAACCCTTTCTCACTTCACCTCTTCCACTGGGAGCTCAGGGGTGGCGGTCCCCTAGCCTAATTCCCCGTCCCAAACCACAGGGCCGGTGTGTGGGGCTTAGAGCTAGGGCGGGGCCAGGTGGGTGTTGCTTCTAGCCGGGGCCGTGACTAGATATGACACGTGGGGCCGAGGAGCAGGGCAGAGTGGGCGTGGTTTATGGCTATGGGCGGGGCTTGGTGCGTAGCTCTGAGTCAGGGGCAAGGAAGAGCGGGATTTAAAGCAGTGGGCGGAGCCTGACAGGTGGCGCTTAGGGCAAGAGGCAGGGCTTTGTGGGAGGGGCTTAGTCTTGGGTGGGGCTTTCACGGTTAGCCCCGCCCCACCAGAGCAGTTAAGATGATCCTGAGGGTGCGCCGGCGGCTCGGGCGCTGCTCCAATTCCTCCGCCTCTTTCTCTGGGTGGGTGAGGCTGCGCCAGGACGCCGCTCCGCGTGGCTGCGGGCGTGGGTAAGCGGCGTGGCGGGCCGGGGTCAGCCTCTCCGCTACGGCCCACTGACCCCTACCTGCCCAGACCGCGCGGGCTGCGGCCCAGACGGTGTTATCCTGACTTGGGGGATGGCCCCAACTTGTGATTTCCCTCCCGGCCTCACCCCTCACCGTTGGTTTCACCGGCAGCCTTCACGGAGGAGGGGTTCCCAGCGAGGGGGTCCTCAAGGGACCAGCATGCAAGGTGCACTGGGGTGGGCGCGCTTGGGACACCTGGGACCCGGGGGTTGGAGCAAGGGATGGGATGATCCGGGAGTTGGGGCCCCAAGTTAAAACCCGGAGTTCTGAGGACTACAGTTGCTGTGAGTGAAGGCCAGATCTTAACAGTCGGGGCTGAATTGGCCTCTTCCATTCCTGCAGCTGCTGGGGGCATTAAGAGTAATCTGCTGTGGGCCAGGCGCGGTGGCTCAAGCCTGCAATCCCAGCACTTTGGGAGGCCGACTTGGGTGGATCACCTCAGGTCTGGAGTTCGACACCAGCCTGGCCAACATGGTGAAACCCCGTCTCTACTAAAAATACCAAAAAAATTAGGCGGGCGTGGTGGCACGCGCATGTAATCCCAGCTACTCAGGAGGCTGAGGTAGGAGAATTGCCTGAATCCGGACCCGGGAAGTTGCAGTGAGCCGAGATCTTGCCATTGCACTCCAGCCTGGGTGACAAGAACAAAACTCCATCTCATAAAAAAATTAAAATTAAAGAGTAATCAATCTGCTATCAGCGGAAGACCTCTTGTCCGCCAGTGTGAAATCAGCACAGCTGGGGGAAACAAGTGTCTCCCACCCCCAAACTTCTGGTCCCCATCTCTGATGATCGGAGCAGTTGAGGGTGGTGTCCATCCTGCGGCTCAGCTAAATTCAGAGACTAATACCCCACAGTCTGCAGGGTTGGGAGGGCAGGCAGGTGTCTTCCTTAGACAAGCCCAGTCAGTTGCAGTGGCCAGGTGGTGGGCAGGAGCATGGAGATGTTCTGGGAAGCCTGCACCACCACCTCTGCCCCACTCAGTGGCAGGCACCTCTAGTGGGATGAAGGCTGCTCCTGGGTGCTCATCATTGTACAGAGGAGGAGACTGAGGGTCAGAGAAGCCAAGTTATTTACTTTTTTTGTTGGTGAGAAAAATCTAATTTTTATTTCTTAAATACTGTGAAGAAAAGGACAGTCCTCCAATGGGGAAGGGCCACAGAGCAGATGCCTGGAAGGTCATTGGCAAAGGCACAAGGGCACTGGGGGAACATTATGAGCAGAAGTGGGGGTCCTCCTGCAGTCAATTTTGCATCTCAGACCCCGGCTGCCTGCAGCTCTCCTGAATTCTGGTGCTTCCAGGTCCCGGATGAGACTCTTGGCTTCTGATGAGCCCCCACTGCCCTGCATGGTCAGTCTTGTAGGGAGCAATCCACATCCTGGTGCCCCGTCTCGCTCTACTGCCCAGGCTGGAGTGCAGTGGCATGATCTTGGCTTATGTCAACCTCCACCTCCCGGGTTCAAACGATTCTCCTGCCTCAGCCTCCCGAGGAACTGGGACTACAGGTGCCCACCACCACACCCAGCTAATTTTTGTGTTTTTAGTAGAGACTGTGTTTCACTACATTGCCCAGGCTGATTTGTCTCGAACTCCTGCCCTCAAGTGATCTGCCCACCTTGGCCTCCCAAAGTGCTAGGATTACAGGCTTGAACCACCTTGCCTAGCCTCCAGTTACCTCTTTTTTTAAGATAATTTGGTTATTTGAAAGATCTTTTTATGGTCAGGCACAACAAGAGCAACACTCTGTCTCAAAAAAAGAAAGATCTTTCTTTTTTATGTAGACATTCATTTATCGCTATAAACTTTCCTCTTAGAACCACTTTTGCTGCATTCATTGGTTTAAGTATGTTGAATGTCCATTTCAGTTTGTCTCAAATGTTTTTTGTTTTGTTTTTTTGAGATAGGTCTCCCTCTATCACCCAGGCTGAATGCAGTGGCACAATCATAGCTCACTGCAGCCTCCAATTCCTGGGCTCAAGTGTTCCTCCCACCTTAGCCTCCTGAATAACTGGGGCTACAATATCACCACGCCTGGCTTTTATTTTTTGTAGAGATGGGGGTCTCACTATGTTGTCCAGGCTGGTCTTCAACTCCTGCCCTCAGGTGATCCTCTTGCCTCAGCCACCCAAAGTGCTGGGATTACAGGCCTGAGCTACTGCACCCAGCCTCAAGTATTTTTTAATTTCCTTTTTAATTTCTGCTTTGGCGCACTGGTTGTTTAGGAGTGCGTTGCTTAATTTTCACAGGAGAGTTTTCCAGAATTCCTACCGGTAATGAATTTCTAGTTTCATATCACTGTGATCAGAAAAGATATTTGATATAATTGTAATCTTAAATTTGTTTAGACTTGTTTTGTGGTCTAACATGATCTATCCTGCAGTATGCCCTCTGTGCACTGGAGGAGAATATGCAGTCTGCTGCTGTCAAATGGAATGTTCTACATAAGTCATTAGTTCTGTTTGCTCTCCAGTGTATTTCAAATTCAATGTTTCCTTAGTGATTTTCTGCCTGGATAATCTGTTCATTGCTTTATTTTTATTTCTTTA